GGTTTCAAAACCCTAACCCCTAAAAACCTTAGGGTTTCAAAGCCCTCCCTGGCCAGAAACCTCATGGGTTACCCTTAAGGAGTCCACAGACCCAGAAACCAAAGAACCACTGACTCAAGGGGCTGCTTGTGCTAAGGGACTTATCTTTAGGTCTCTAGACATAGAAACCTTATCATCAAAAGCCTTTGGCTTAGAAGCTCTATCATCCAAAGCATGTTGCCAATAAACCTTTCCCCTTACAAATATCACAGGTGGCAAGGCTTGCAAAATCTTCGATCTAGAAGATAGTTGGCAAGTACTGGTAGTGCACTCTTCAAGGCACCTGTTCACCCACACCCTGTCTCCACACACTGGTTCGAAGGAACTGCTTGCACCGTTGATGAGTGCTATTGGTGACATGTTCAATTTACCTTGCAGCATCACTTCAAAACAAGATCCAGAGGTGGTTTCCATGGAGGCAATACAGCTCTCAACACAGGGTGCAGAGCGGCAGAGAAAAGATGTGTCTCAACTCGTTGTATGACGTGTTCTTTTTTTGGTGGTTGCCATGGATGGTAAAACACATATTAAGGCTGGTACTGTTACTGCTCAAACTTTTGGTCGAGGTGATGAAGCTAGCAGCTCGGTTCGAGCAAATGATGCGTGATCGGAGGCACGACGAATCTACGAAGGACCTCAATGATGAAGAATTGCTGTCTATGTTGATACAGCGTTACAACAGCTACAAGGCCAACTCAGCGTTGAGGAAGTGGCAGCTGAATGCCGATGCTCAGGCTGCTATCTTTGGAGTGATCCGAGGCATGTGCCCTGAAGCGCGCGCGCTTGTGCGTGCACATTTGGACTTTAACAAGTACACGGAATCTGGTTGCTTGGCCTTTCTTTAAAGCAAATGGGGGCATGAGTGCACACGTCTTTTTACTTATATATATATACACATTACTTTTGTGTGTGCTGGTTGCTTGTGCAAGCCAGCAATGGCCATCTTAGCCTACAACGAGTCCATCCTCCGCAGCAAGCGACATCAACTTCATGAGGCTCCCAAAAGATGCCCACCAGCATGGATTGACAAGCTCACTGTGACTTGACCTGATTTTGTAATTTGTGTCCAATAATTGGTTATTGTGAGTTCTGGGGTGCTCATCTTAAAGAGAAAAACAGGTGCAGAACCTTGTCTTGAGGTCACGAAGGAAGCACAGATCTTACATTTCAGAAGATACAACATATGGTGGGCAGCCAACAGCAAGCGTATGAAACCTTCTATGAGAACACGGCTACGCTGGAGCGAAGAAGTTTGGGGGCGAAGTGTGGAGATGGCCTGCCTCACAGTTTGGGCAGTCAATGAGGCAGCCAAAAATCCAAGAGATCTTTGGTTTGGTGGAGTCAAACTTTGTTTTGTATGTTTTGTTCTTCCTGTTAGCTGTTCTCATCACCCACCATACAAAACAAGGTGACTTCAGAGATGACCAGCAACATGATCCAAGGGTACTTGCAAGGGATACTTTGATGATACAGTGCTTTCCAAACCTTTTATAATTTGTTTGTTCAATACTTATTTGGCTGTTTGTTGTAGTCTGAATTCAATTCGAATAGAAGTTGTGGCCCTGTGCTGAGGGACTATGTCCAGGACTTGGAAGCAGTGCTCCTCAGCAAGCCCAACAAGTTTGGTGTGGAAGCGTTGGCAATGTGGCAGGACTATTGTGGAAGAGCGCTTGCGAAGGGCGCTTCATCACTTGGGGGCGTGACGGAGTCCTCTGAGGTTGAAGATGCTGAGGAGCTCCCCTCCCAAATTTTGATTGTTCCCCTCCCAAATTTTGCCCTGACAAGAGGAAACATATGTATGAGTGTGTATATTGACATTGCCCCGTTCTTCACATGTAGTAGGAAGCGCTGCGGGCTGCTGAGTACCAAGTTGCCTGTGTCAACCTAAGCCATGACTACAGGAAGCGGTTGCTTTCAACTTGAGAAAGCACAAAGTTGAAGGAAGCAAACATGTGCAAGAGGCACTTTATCTGATTGTTTTGTGGCAGATATTTTTTCCAACTGCTAGCTTAAAACAATGGGTGTTATTGTTAATGTGGTTATGGTTCATACTTCTGAGCATGAGGTATTGCACATGAGAGACCAAATCCAGCAGGGTCTGGATGTTGTGGGGCGCTTCATGGAGAAGCGGGCTTACATGGTTGTGGGGGAAAGAAGCCAGGGTGTTGCAGCTCTGCAACGACGCATGCTTGCAGACGCCTCCACTAAGTTCAATGCTCCTTTGGATATTTCGAAGATGCACCATGTCGGGTACATTGACTTCAGCAAGTTTGGACGGCTGACTACTATTGACATCAACCAGGCGGCTGAGTGGGCAAAGAGCATTCTGACTCTGAACGATGAATACAGCCACTCGACAATATGTATATACTGTAAAATAGGTTTCCATATTTTGTGCAATGTTCTCTACCAACTTGTTTGCCCCCTGCTTTCTTGAGTTGGAGCAGCTAAAGGTATGATCTTGGCTGTTGCACCTTTGCTGGCGTCAGAAGGCGTGCTTGGTGGCATTCGGGGAGAGATGCGGAGGATTGAGGACAAGTTCATTGACAACATGATGGAATGCAAGTCCATCAACATACCCTTTGACTTGAGCAGCGCCCACGGCAACAGGACTACCGGTTTGCTAAAACATGTTCACACCATCAGTTCTTTTCTGATGGAAAACCGTTATATATATAGGGCGAGAGAAAGACACTTTGAAACTGCCAGGAGCTTGCCGGCCAGTCTTCCGGGTTGGATGATTGTGCTCGACACAACACTTGGTGCAAAACAAGGTACTCTATACAAGGTTCCCAGATCCAGTGACCGGCCAGCAGCCGACACCAATACATTCGCCAAGAATGATTGGTGGTCCTTGCACCGTTGCGGGGCCACCCTACCAGTCAACCCAGGACTTCTACCCACATGCTGAACATTTTGATTGCAGCCCAGGTTTAAGATGTTTCTCAAGTGCTTGTGTGTGTGCATGTCGGCTCAAAACCTTGCCACCTTTTAACAGGAGACTATGTGACGCCGGAGTCTGGAACCCTGTTCACACATGAACAGGGCAGGAGCTTGACCGAAACTTGTTTATGCCTCAATGATATGTTTTACACTATTTTCCTTTGGTGATCCTTAAATGATGATGTGATGGGAACATTACTTTTTCAGTGCAGTCATTTGTGCTCAGGACAAGGAGGAAACCTCCCAGTGGGTTTCTGGCTTGGCGACCCTGAAGGAAATGATGACCGCCTGTGTCAGCCGCGTGTCATCGCTGAAGCATCAGACCTGTCTCTTCCACCACTTCAGTTGCTATGAGGGAAATTTTGAGAAGGCGCACATGCTGTTGGGGTGAAACATTTGATGATATTGAAGCTCTCATTTTCATTGAGAAACAAAATTTTCCGATGCGTATTCATCGAAAAGCATTTGTGATGTTGTCATTCAATTCGTCGTTTGATGAGGTGATGCTTGATCTGATGGTTGAATTGAATGACAGGGTCTACATTGGCTTTCATTCTTCGGCTCCCAATCAGACCGTCTTTGAGTTTGCAGCAGCTAGTGTGAAGGACAAGCTGCTGGAGGCTGGAATCAAAATGTTGTCAGCAACAAATTGGATTAATTTTTGGGCCAGGATTGAACATGCTTTTGCCCCTGAAAGGATTGGAAGCAAGGTGCCAATTTGGTCGGGGCAATGCCACCAAAGTATTGTCCAACGGCAGAAATGGGAGATCTTCAAATGCCGAAGCTGCCGCACTTGAAGCTCTGTTCCATCAATGAAGATGGCCACCTGACCATCCCGAAAGCGGAGAGAGAGAAGTGGCTGTCTGATCCTGTGAGGAGTGGCTTGATCAAATTTGATTTCAATTGTTTTGTCCGTTTGCTCTGTTGTGTGGTTGCAAGTGGGAAGGGAACATGAGGATGTGTTCTTTTCAATGTCTTGGGAACTAAGATCCAGATTGGCGCATCAGATTGAAGAACTTTGATGAAGTCTTCAAACCAAACACCTCCAGTCCCAATCCAGCTCCCTCAGCAGCGGCTGCTGAAGTAGATCTTGGTGTTGAACGTCCAGCAGAAGTTGTGAACCAACAAGCCGATGAATGCGAAGTCCCACCAGCTCTCTCACAAGAAGCTTTCGAGAAAAAGTATCCAAGTGTTGGCGCTACCTTTACTTGCAACATGGCAGGCCAAACGATCACCTGCAAGTTTGTGGATGGTACATTGTGGATGACCAGTGAGTCCAAGACCCGCTTGGTTGGAGTGCAGTCGACCAATCCGAGTCCCATCTTCATGTACGCCGGTGGTACATGGCTTGGCGACTCTGCCAAGGCCATAGGTTTAAAGTCTGTGATTAGTGTTTCTCAAGATCCTTTGTTGGTGGATCCCTGGTGGTCAGGCACAGGATTTCCTTAGCAAAGATGTGAACAAGAACAAGGGGGTGGAGTTTAGATTGGATTCGGGCGAGTCCATGGCCACTGTGCCTGCATTTCAGCAAGCATTCACAGTTGATAGGTTTGTTTTTCTGTCAATGCTTCTGTTCTTGCCACTTGAGTTATGTAGGATTTGTCTAGCTCTGAGGTTTGTCTTGAAGAACAAGGCCCACAGGGAGCAGTTGATGGAACACCTACCTCCCTGTTCAATCTCATGGTCAGCCTCGAGAAACGTGGGCTATTGGATTTGAAGGTGACCGGGCACAAGGTCGACAGGCCATCGGACGTGAAGCGTGGAGAATCATCAGACAAGATTGAGGTGCAACATGAATCATATTCAGTTTTCCGGCCTGCAGCTGTTCAACTGAAGACCCTCAAGCAGACGAACGTTGCGGGATATGTCGGCACCACCAGTCTGAGCTCCTCCCGTTTCCTAGCGCTTGTATGGCGACACTCAGCCAAGAAAACCAATCTGGTAATTGTTGTTGTTTCTGGTTTCAGGTTTCCCATGTAATAAGGGGTGTGGCAAGTATAAACAAAGTAGCATCATTGCCCAGGACTACGCCATTACCCACGAGAAAAGACCCTTGGCCCTGCCAAGCCGCTTTGGTTCGTCCGTGGCAATGGTTTCATGCTTGAACCCAAGATGCACTACCAGATGGTCTGAGAGATAGGACTTGTACTGCTCGGCATGTCAGACCCGCATTTTTGTCCTGCTGCTCTGAGAAAACTGTGTTTGCTGCTCTGTCTGAGCAATGCTTTCTCTTTGTTTTTGGATTGTCCCGTTCAACTATTGGGTTTGCATAAATTTGCTTTTCCATATCAAGACTGTTGCCCTGAACCCCCCAATCCTTGCTTTAGACGTGTGA